CACAGCCCTGACCAGCTAAAACGGGGAGACTGGAATGTCTCGCCTGGTTCCTCCCCGGCTGGGGTGCCTCCCCCCATATACATTCTTGAGGAAATACCACCAAGCCACAGGAAGAGAATCTGACAGTTGTTGAAGGTGCCGGGGAATTGGTTTGGAATTTAGAATTTGCTTCAGATAGTTCATGGAGTAGTAAGTGGTAAACATGGCACTCGCGTAGCCGGGTGTTGCCCTCACCTGCCTCGTGCCCGGCAGCACCCAGGAGGCCGGTGCCTCCCAGCCCTCCAGGGTCCTGCTCCCGGAGCCACGTGGGGGATGCAGGCAGGCAGGTCTGACGCCGGTTAGCCAGTGCCCAGGCTGGTGAGGGATTCAGCCTGGAAGCCCTCTCCCCTGGGTAGGAATCCACAGGCTCTAAGAAAGAGGTGGGAGGCACCACCTGCCAACACCCCGGAGAGGTGACACCCCGCGGTCCTTAGATGCTGGTACCCCACTGAGCAGCACTCTCCTTTTTGGTGGGAGACAGGCAGTGAGGAGTAAGATAACAAATAAGTAAACCGCAGAGTCAGTTAGAAGGTGATGTAGTAACAATGAGACAAGCCCCACAACAGTGGGGGAAGGGGGGTGATCACAGTTTCAGGTCGGTGCTCAGGGGTCACGGAGGCGGCATCTAAGCAGATGGCAAGGAGAGTGGAGTGGGAGAATGGAACATGGGTAGTTGAAGCCCACTGAGACCTTGAAGAGGCTCGGGGCGGGTAGGAGAACGCCCGAGTCCTTCAGTCCGTTCATGCATTTTCTTTAGGGCGGTTTGGGGGCCAGCCTTGGTGCTATTGGCTCATAATGACGTACTGTGAGCCTTGGCAGCCAAGAGCCCTAAAAGTCCTTGTCCTTCTGTGACTCTGCTGTCCCCTCTAAAGGCCCTTCAGCACCGGCAGCCGTCTGAGTGGGGAGTGATTATTGGGGGCCCCGGGTAGGGGCCCCCATGCCCCCGCCTTGCTCACCCCATTTATATTTGAACATGATCAATGAGTTGGCTTTGTGCAACCGTGAGAAGCCTCTTCACGCCTTAATTAAGATTGATTTTAGTTTTACTTCCAAAAAGAAGGGAAAATCTAAAGCCTTAAAATGGTCACTTAGGCAGGATAATGAGAAACCGTCCTAGGAGATGCTGAGCTGGCTGCCCGCCCCCAGCCTGGAGTGGATATGGATTTAACTCCTATCGCACCTGCCACCTGACTGCTGGGCTGGGGAGTCTGCCTAGGGCAGTGACAGCCCTCAGAGGGCTCCGGGTCAAGTCCAGCCGCAGAGCCGTGCTGTCTAGGTGGTGGTGGCAGGGACAGAGCCTCCCTCAGATCTGTGGCGGGAAGGCCGCCTCCCCTGTGCCTCCTGCCGTCAGAAGCATCCGTGCGTCCCAGCTGTCGTCTCGGCCTCTCCGGTTTCTTGACGAGGAAGAGAAAGGGTGATTTGTCACTGTAGTCTGACTTCTCAGCAAATGTCTGGTGCCGCCTCCCGGCCTCCCTTTCGATGGAGGCCATAAAAATGCAAGCTTATTTTCATATTAGCCAGGTTATTAGGAAAGTGAAAATATACCACCCCCAAAAGGCGGGCGAGGACAGGTTCCATTATCCTGCCTGTGCTCTGTCATCGGCGTGTGTCATTGGAACTTGACCGTGTGCCTGTGTCCCAGCAAGGAGAGTGGAGGCTGCCTCTGCCCTTCCCGGCACCTTGTGGGCCCGTGAACCTGCCTCCTCCTCCTGACCTAGAGCACCAGGTGGGGTCTGTCCTCCCACCCCTGCCCCCAAAGGCCCCTTTTTGGTGTGCGGTACTGCATGGCCCTGTGTCGCCTCTGCTGTGCGTCCAAAACACTTTTTACATGGGGATGGGACATCAAGGCAAGCACACAAGGCAGCCAGTGTGCACGCACGCACGCGCTTCTGATCAGGCCAAACCCATCGTGAGTGTTTCCCAGGAAACAGCTCCAAGGAGGGACAGGGCTTCGTTCGGCCCAGTCAGGTCTTTGAAATGACTCTTCCTTTTTCTTTGTTCCTCCTCTGACCCTCCTGCCTGCCTTTGGCGATTCACGCGTGGCCTTCCCCTGCAGCTTTGTGACGACGACCTTTGTGGTGGAGGCCATGGCCGCGGCCAACGCGCAGCTCCGCTGGAAGAGGATGGAGAAGCACCAGGTGCGCCCGCTGCCCTTGTCTCCGGGCAGTGCCTCCGTCCGCTTGTGTGCCACTCACTGGCCAGTCCTTCCCTCCCGATGCGTGGAGGACCCGTGTCCACAGCGCTACTGGGGTCCCTTCCCCGAGCAAAAGCTGAGCAGCCACCTAAGCTCACAGACACCTGCAGCCTCTGCTCTTTCCAGTTTGCCTTCGGGTCCCTCCTGCCCGACCTTGACCCAGCTCAGTCCCGCTGAGCTTCTGCACCAGGGCCTGTGCCGTGGCCTTGGACCCGACGTCCGAGTGTGTCTGCGCCTTCTCACGTGACCGAGGGGACGTGTCGAGAGCTTCCCAATCGGATTCCTTCCAGAAAGAAATAACAGAGGAGGCGGGTGCTCCGTTGTCACGGGGTTTCCTGCCGTAACGGACCCCTTTCCTGTGCTTGTTCCCCTCCCTGCGTGCTCCGTCCTAGGAAGACGACGACGACAACTCCTCTGCCGCCTCCGACAGCGACAGTCTGGTCCAGGACAGCTACGAGCGGGCAGAGCAACGGCCCATCCTGTCTGTGCGTAAGTCTTGGGGCTCCTGGCCGTCCTGCACTTCCCTGGGGCCACAGGGTCCCTTTCCCTGCGGGGAGGACGGGGGAGTCTCTGCAGAGACCCCGTGGCCCTTCTCGCCTGCAGGTGGCTCCTGGGAGGCTCCATGGTAGAGTAAGGAGTCCAGGACCCAGGTGTCCCCCTGCAGGCTCCGCACTTAGTGACGCTTGCACCCCAGCTTCCCACCTCGGCTGCCGTTGTGGGAGTAATGAAATGCCTGTCTCAGTGCTGGTGCACAATGGGCATGCCAGTGCATCTAGGGTCTCCGAGTTCTCTCCTTCCTCCCATCCCGCCACACACACACACACACACACACACACACGCACATGCACACACGCACTTGCACTGCACATGCCCGAGAGTCTGATCCCTGCTCTGGCCGAGCAAGGGCTAAGCATCCCCTTCTGACCCCACGACCAGCATCCCTGAGGTCCCTTTCTAGATATTTTGAACCATAAGCATTAGAAAAAGTTTTCTCAAGAGTTTAAAACGCGGGGATTTCATTATTCTGGAGAGTTCTGAGCTCAGTAGCCGCTTCTAGAAGCCAAGTGAACCGACCTCCTTCTCTTCCTTGTCCTCTGGCCCCACAGAGAGACGCAGCTCTCCGAACCTTTTTGAAATCACAGACCGCGTGGAAATGGGACAGATGGCCTCCATGTTCTTCAGTAAAGGTACCCATTACTTCCAAGGTGGCGAGGGAGGGGCAGCTCACACTTCCTACTGACCCGGGCGCTTGGAATGAGGGTCCCGCCTGGACAGTGGGACGGGGCAGGCGACGGGAGGAGCGGATTGCTGACCCGCGCCCAGTGCTCTGAGCAGCCAGCAGCCGAGAGACCTGGGCGGCTTCGGGTGGTTTCCTTGGATTCCTCTTCGGGCATCGGCGCTAGGAACAGAGAGGCAGCTGCTTGCAGGCCGGCTGGTCACGTTGTGCCTCTTGCTTGATTGCCTCTGACTTGTCTCTCTGCTTCTGGACTCTTCTGTGTAGAGGCTTCGCTGCGTGTTCTCTGTCTCTTCCTGGTGGCCAGCAGAGGGCGCTGGGAGCCCGTGCACAGGGCCGCTGTCTGGGATCTGAGCGCCAGAACCTCTCCCCACTCTACCTGCCACTGCACAGCTTGGGATTCCTGCCCTTTCCTTCCCGGACTTGGCTACAAGCTGACAGGACCCAACCGAGCTCGGGTGCTGGCTTGTTGGGTGTTTCACCGAAACACCTTATGCCTCCGTGGCCAATCTTGTTCTTTTGGAAGAGGAGCTATGCAAGAGGGTCGTTTTTTAATGCTCAGACCTGTTTTTCCTTCTTAGAGTCAGACACATCTGACATCCTTGCCTTTGCAGTTCCCCTGGGAGGTTTTCTGCCCCTTTGCCGGAGCCCCTGGCTGCAGCGGGGGCATCGCCACCCGCTCTTTTCCGTTTTGAACGTGGCTGAACTAACTTAGAGCTGGGGTGGGGGTGGGGGTGTAGGAACTGGAAGCTTCTTGCTGCTTTTTAGGACACTGAGTGTTCTCTTCCCCACTGGTGGTGTGATGGGACTGTCTAGTCCAAAAGGTTGTCATCAGCAGCCAAAGGTGGTCCGAGCGTCTGCTCCCGTCCCCCATGCCAGCCTCACAGAGGGTTTCCAGGATTCCTGAAAACCAGATTGGTCGTGTCTGCTCACTTCCGTGTCGATTTGTTCCATTTCTGCCTCTCCCCACCTCACTAGACTAACATAAGAGATCGTAAACATGTCCCCCCAGGAACCATACTTGGTCTCCTTCCAAATGCAAGCTTTTGAAATAAAATGCACATTAGAGCCCGGCCGGTGTGGCTCAGTGATTGATTGCTGACCTATGAACCAAGAGGTCACGGTTCAATTCCTGGTCAGAGCACAAACCCAGGTTGTGGGCTCAATCCCCAGGTTTGGGGGGCGTGCAGGAGGCAGCCAGTTAGTGATTCTCATCCTTGATGTTTCTCTCTCTCCCTCTCTCTCCCTCTCCTTTCCTCTCTGAAATCAATAAAAATAAATTTTTTTAAAAGCACATTGGAGGGCAGACGCTTACCTTTTAAATCTCCTTTCTGATTTGCGTGTTTTGTAGTCCACGCTGATTTCTTAAGAATTCTAGGAACTTGTGGTTTGGTTTTGTCTTCCCTCTCCATGCGCTAGGCTCCTGGTTTACTTCAACTGAATAGCAAGCACATCCGTGTGCGAGCAGCGCCCGCTTAGAGGACGCCTTCTCCGTCATTTCCGGTTTCCACTCAGCACTGCTGCCGTCTGGGCCGGACCACCCTTTGTCAGGGGGCCTGTCCTGTGTGTATCGGGTGCTGAGGAGGGTTTCCAGCAGCACCTCCCAGCTATGACATTGTCACATGTCCCCAGTAGGGGTTGGGGGACAAAATTGCCCCCC